GCTTGGAGGGTCGAAGCGGCTCCTGGGAGGTGAGTGGAGGGCAGGTCGGAGGAGAAGCCGGGAGCAAGTCCGGCCCTTTGGCTTCCTCCACGGCCTGGAAGCAGCGAAGGGACAAGGCTGAAAATGCCTAGAATTTGTTCACCATTTCCGTCTGTTAGTATGTCTCCCCCCCACTTCCTAAAACCAGATCAAGATAATGGAGCGAATCCACTTCTGAGGCATTTTGCAGACTGAAATACACACAACTGCTTATGTAGATAAATCCTTAGGAGTGTTTTTCTGTGTAAATAGGATCCCATATGCGGTGCATTCAGAAACTATTCCGACCCTTTTCACGGCTGTCGATTTTGTTATGCTTCAGCCTCATTTTACACTTCTTGAAATTCGTTTTTCTTCATTCATCTACATCCATAATGCCAAAGTGAAAACAGAATTTTAGAAAACCTCTGTGAATGTATTTAAAACAACAAAACTTGAAATACCACACTGACATAAATATTCAGGTCCTTCACTCAGTACTTCGCTGAAGCACCTTTGGCAGCGATTACAGCCTCTAAGTCTTTTTGGGGTATCAGGCGATAAGCTTTGCACGCCTGGATTGGGGGATTTTCTGCCGATCTTCTTTGCAAGTCCTCAGCCAGGTTGGATGGTGACCATCGGTGGGCAGATTTTATTTTGTCATTATGAGTGTAGATTAATGAGATTTTTTTTTTTAACAACTGAAGAATCAGGCTGCAGTATAACAAAAGTAATAGAAGTGAAGGGGATCTGAATACTTTCTGAGCGCACTGTGTGATTTACTCAAGTGAAAAGGAGAATTTTTTTTCATTTAAAAATATATTTTTTGATATTTGGATCTGCTAGCCTTCTACACGCCAAATGAATTATAGTTAATCTTAGAGATTAAACTAGAATTTTGAGATTTGTTTTTTAATGGTAAAAAAACATATCATGCAGCAATTTTTAAATAATAATGAAACTAACCCATTAATATGAATCTTACAGACAAAGAAGAACACTCTGGACAACAAAGAATGAGAAACAGCATGAAAATGTAAAACAAATCATCAATCAAAATTTTCTACTTCCTCCAGAAAATGTAAAAACACTTCTTCTCCAGCTGCTGAGGGACAGTGGATAGAATTATAAGAACAAAGCTTTCAGCTAGGAAAAAATAGAGTATCTGGAACTCAAGGAAACATTACATGAGAAGTCAAGGAGGATAATTTGTAATTAAAGAACACCTGGAAGTCAGTGGGAATAAAAAGGACAGCCCTGGACAGTCAAAACATGCAGACATTAATGAAAGCATTTGTGGAAGGAAAGAATAGCTTGAAGCAAAGAACCACCAGGTAAGAGATCAGAAACATTGTTGGCCTCCTCAAGAGTCCAAGAATATCAATGTTGGAAAATCCCTACCGACTGCCTACTATGGGAACAACACAGATTGCAGATCACATCTGATTAATGCATAAGTTGAACCTCCCCGTGAAAAGCCATACAAAGGTGCGGCAGAAGCTTTACTCAGAACAGGTCTCTCTCGTGATTTGTGAAAGGACTCATACCAAAGAGAAACTACCAATGCTCCCATTGTATGAAAAGATCTAGCATGCACACCAATTTGGTGATACACAAGAGAACTCACACTGGGGAGAAATCATATGAGTGTCTGCATTGTGGGAAAAGTTTTCTGCATAATTCCAAGCTGGTGATACACCAGAGGAGTCACACAGGAGAAAAACCATATGAGTGTCTGGATTGTGGGAAAAGTTTCAAGGAGAATTCCAAGCTGGTGTTACACCAAAGGAGTCACACAGGAGAGAAACCATATGAATGTCTGGATTGTGGGAAAATGTTCAGTCAGAATTCCGACCTGGTGACACACCAGAGGACTCACACAGGAGAGAAACCATATGAGTGCCTGTACTGTGGGAAAAGTTTCAGTAAGAATTCAAACCTGGTGATACACCAGAGGATTCACACGGGAGAAAAACCATATGAGTGTCTGGATTGTGGGAAAAGTTTCAATCACAAATCCCACTTGGTGAAACACCAGACCACACATACAGGAGAAAAACTGTATTGTTCAGATTGTGGGAGAGGTTTTACTTGCAATTCGGACCTGGTAGTACACCAGAGGACTCATACAGGAGAAAGACCATATGAGTGCCCAAATTGTGGGAAAAGTTTCAGTCGGAATTCCTCCCTTATAGAACACCAGAGGACTCACACAGGAGAGAAACCATATGAGTGTCCAGATTGTGGGAAAAGTTTCAAGCGTAATTACCATCTGGAGAGACACAAGAGCACTCACACGGGTGAGAAACCGTATGAGTGTCTGGATTGTGGGAAATGTTTCAAGCGTAATTCCCATCT